TTTACAATTTTTTTCATATGCATAAATGCCACCTAATTATTATTTTTAAAAAACTTTTATTTCAATCAACTCTGGATTTATTTTTTAACTAAAATCCATATATTTGAAAACATGGTACTGCCATAAATATAAAAATAAAGATAACGAATAAAAAATTGTTCGTTATCAAGACTCTGAACCTGAAACCTGCCTTTCCTTGTTAAAGGGAAAATGGGATTCATGGTATAAGGATACCACCTTGAGACTTTCTTTTTTATAATATTAGGAGTGAAGGAGAAATTTAAAAGGCAGGACTCTTTTTGGCATATTATGGTGACAGACATTGAGAGTCAACTCATACAATCCCCACTTCTAACCCCTGTCTTCTTTAATGCCTGCTTCCTGTGTAAGCTGTAAAACCCTTGAAGTTAGTGGTGACTGTAGGACCCAGCTCTGGCCTGTGAGACATTAAGAGAAGCGCCCCAATGCTACCTCTCCCTCTTCCTTCTTCTTTTCTGCTTAGATAGTGACACGACATCTGGGGTCACTGCAGCCATTTTGTAACCATGAGGTAACAAGCATGACAATAAAAGCCCAATTCCTACAGCTGGCAGAGCAAAACGAAAGAAAACAATGTTGAGTAGCTGCCCCAGAACTACCTACCTCCTCACTTCTTGCTATATAAAGAAACTAAATTCTCTATATTTCAGCATTAGTCAAGGTTTCTCTTTTTACCTACCAAACAAAATTTTTACTGACCCAGTGTTTATTAACTCTAAGTATTTGGCACCTGCAACCAGCTTGACACCACTGGTAGTATGTCTTTCATGCTTTGGGGGAATCTTCTGTAAGAGAACCTGTATTAGTTTGCTAAAGCTTCCATAATAAAATACTGCAGATTGGGCAGCTCAAACAGCAGAAATTTATTTTTATTTTCTCACAGTTTTGGAGACTAGAAGTTCAAGATCAAGGTGTTGGCAGGTGTTTTAAAGAAGTTCAAGATTAAGGTGTTCTTTTGAGCCATCTCTCCTTGGCTCACAGATGGCCACCTTCTTGCTGTCTCCTCACATGTTTTTTTTTTCTTTTCTGTCTGTGTCCTAATGTCTTCTAATAAGGACACCAATTACATTAGACTAGGTCCCACCCTGACACCCTGTTTCAACTTAATCACCTCTTTAAAGACCCTATTTCTAAATAGTCATGCTCTGAGATACTAGGGGTGGGCAAACTTTTTGACTTGAGGGCCACAATGGGTTCTTAAACTGGACCGGAAGGCCGGAACAAAAGCATGGATGGAGTGTTTGTGTGAACTAATATAAATTCAAAGTAAACATCATTACACAAAAGGGTACGGTCTTTTTTTTTTTTTTAGTTTTATTCATTTCAAATGTGCCGGATCCGGCCCGCGGGCCGTAGTTTGCCCACGGCTGTTAGGGCTTGCTTCAACACATGCATTTTGGAGAACACAATTCAGCCTATAAAAGAGCTTAACAGTTTATTTATTTAGTAGAAACTATTTTTTCCTTCCCTGAATTCTTCCCGGTACATGACAACAAGGCTCATGGATGTTCAAAGTCCACAGGCAGGGTCAAGAGTTCTCAGATGAGAGGAAAGTGTCCTGAATTTGGGGTCAGGAGGCCTTGGCTGTAAATATTGGTTGTCCTCTTGCTGACACAGTCTCTCTGAACCTATGTCATCATCTGTAAAAAGATAGGAATATTACTTATGATAATGTATTGGCATTTTTTTTAAGTCCCCAGATGATTCTGATAGTCTGGTAGGTTCTGAAGTGATGGCTTTCAGCATACTATAAGTCATTGTGTTGAATAACCCAAATTTTAATTCTAAGCTGTGATCTTTGGAGCGATTTATCAGTTTCTTGGATATTCTTAGGAAGCTTGGATTTCAGACTTTGCCAACAAAAACCCATTGCCCAAATTCCTTACATTTTCTAACACATTCATGGAATTCCAGAAGGTTCCATCTTAGGAGTTGCATATAATAAATACTTCAGTAGAACATGTAAACTAAGTTCTTTCTAGTGGTAGGAATGCTGTGGCACTTACCCTCTTTGTAGTAGTTTTTTGCTCCTTTACCCTGACTATAACCTGGGGGTATTGAGCCCACATCTGCCATTCTATAATTTTATGATCCTATATAACACACTATTAGTTCCTTGTATGCATATTTTAAACTTTTTAGTGAAACTTTAAAAAAAAAAAGCTAGTTGAAGCTTCTTAAAAATTATTGTTCTGAATACTTATGTTTGAATCCTAATTAATGGGATGCTATTATGGCAACAGATAAAACCAGTGTCAAGATTAGAGGACCACGTTGGACTCTTTGACTAGCTTTATAGGCCATTAGTAATCCACCTGACCTACTATAAGTCAATGTGCTGAATAACCCAAATTTTAATTCTAAGCTGTGATCTTTGGGGCTATTTATCAGTTTCTTAGATATTCTTAGCTACAATAGTCCTCCAGCCCACATGTGTATGTGTTCATGATCTCAGAAGAGTCCAACTCCCTGATTTCACAGTGGAGCAAACTGATGTCTCCCTCCCATAGTCAACAACCTAGGTGACCCACCCAAGGTCACATACAAGTTAGCCTACCCATATTGAGCCTACTTCCAGACCACTTCCCTTCCATTGCTCCCACTCCCCCATCTATTCATGACACCACAGGGGGTTTTTATAGAAAACACAAGACAATACAGTATCACCAATGTAGTCCAACCCAATGGGAAGCTTCCCTGTAGCCCACCCAGATCACTCCTGAGCCACAACATTCTTGCTTTCACACAGACTCCATCAGAGCCTTGGCTCACTCCCAGGGAGGCACACATCAGATCTGCTGCATATTGGCAGAACTTTGGCTTAGAACTTATTTCAAATGCCTCCCATTGAACGCTGGCAGCCTTGAAAAATCATGGCCAGGAAACCATTCCACTCTTGGAATAGCTAGAGGCTCAATTGCTCTATGACACTTTACGAGGAGAAGCTGATGGCTTTTCCTCCCAAGCTCTCCCCTTCGCGCCCAGGACAAATGACTGCATTTCCCCGTATGTTCCCTAAATTAGGAGAGGGCCTGCTCAGCTTCAGCCTGAATGGAGGGAATGTCTTTAATGGGCAGGGCCCTCTGCACAGCGCAGTGTGCCTCGCGCCAAATTCTTTCTCCTTCAGTTTTAAAACCCTTGTGTATTCCAAGAGAAATGTAGTCCATGTGTTTCTGCTTCATTTACACTTAAATCATTTAAATGTTGTTTTGTGAGAGTTATTTGATGTCCAAGGAGCCTGTGAGTCTTCTTAATGGGACTTTTAAGGGGTTGTTTCTATTATGCCAGAAACACAAAGCAACATCTCGTTGAAACAGTGCCTGAAGATAAACCTATTCTCTCATCCCATGTACTTGCACCCACATTATTGACCACAGCCTCTTAATGAGGCCGGACTTGGCAAGGCTGGCATTTGAAAGTGCTAAAATAGAGAAACTAGAGTGAAAATGGAGCAAGGAGAATTTCAGTGAGATTCAAGCCATCGTTCCCTAAACTGTGCCAAAGCAAAGTTGGGAGTGCATGAATGTGCCCCCTGGTTAGAAACGGTGGTAGCCCTTTCTCAGGTACACCACTGGCTAGCTAAAAAAGCCCTCCATAAGTATAACCCCACTTAAGTTTCATTGCAACCCCATTTTCTAGGTAAGAAAACAGAATTGAAGATGTTAAGTATTGGACCTAAAGTGCACAGCTGGCTTAGATATAAGTTCTGAGTCTAGCACTGTTTTTAAAATGCTTCAAATTGAGTTTCTATTTGAATGTTGTGTGTACTTGAATTGTCACATGCATTTATAATACATTACTGAGAAGCAGTACAATATAATAAGTTAGAGCTCAGATTTCTTTCCTCATTGCTTTCTAGCTGTGTGACCTTGGGTAAGTTGCTTACCCTCTCTGGGCAGTGTCAACGCCTGTAAAATGGCGACACTATTACTACCCACCTAGCTGAGGTACAAAGATGATTGGAGGGAATTAACACATTACTAGACAGGGTCTGACACATCACTATTAGTGGTAGTAGCAGTAAGAAGTAACTAAGGGCTGGGCAATCTTGGCAAGTCATGCAGCCTCTCTGAGCCTCAGTTTTCCCATTTGTAAAATGAGTATAATGGTATGACCCTCACAAGTTGGTGGGAGTAACTAAGATGACATCTGTGTGTCACTCTGCCTAACGCAGAAAAGGTTCTCAGTAAAAATCTCTTTTTTATGCCCATTTGGTTGTCATTGTTGTGAAGGGAGTTACTTCGCTTATTATTCAGCGCAGTTTAGATCTGGTGCTGATTTCTCCACAAATCTGCATATGGACACATATACAGTCGTGGCTCTTCCTACACCGGGGTGCAGGACTTTCTGACTGTGGAGCATCTTCTCTGGCTGTGTTAGACCTCCGCACCCTCTGAGTTGGTAAACAGCACAAGTTCTGTATTTCAGTGGGAACACCGAGCCAACTGCAGGGCCTCTGCTCCCAAACATTCCCGGCCAGCAGCTGTGCTCACAGGAAAACCTGTGCTGTTTGCCCACAGACCTGGGGACCAGGGATCTGTTTTCTTTCCCAGTGTCAATGTTAGAATTGCCTTCTTGGTTGGTTATTTCTGTTTAGTTGGTGTCCTTTTGCCAATGTCCTGAAAAAGAGCAGAAAACTATAGCCATCTGGCAAGGGAGAGTGACGAGAAATTAGACTTTGCCCCCGGAGAGTGACGAGAAATTAGACTTTGCCCCCCTCCACCCTCTACACTCACACACACACACACACACACACACACACACACTCACACACACACACGGTGACACAAATACCTATTTGAGCCACTCAGTTATTTTCTCTCAGGGACTGGAGCCAGCCAAGCAGGATAAAGGAGGGAACTGGAGGAGCAGATCTCTTCAGGAAGACAGATTCTGTTCTGTCAGGTTCCTCTGAGTGTGTGTAAGAGGGAGGAGAGAGAGAGAGAGAGAGAGAGAGAGAGAGAGAGAGAGAGAGAGAGAGAAAGGCAGAGGGAGAGAGGGGGAGAGGGGATCTGTTGCAGGCAGGGGAAGGCGTGACCTGAATGGAGAATGCCAGCCAATTCCAGAGACACACAGGGACCTCAGAACAAAGATAAGGCATCGCTGACACCACATCGGGGACGAGCTCACAGACAACTCAGGCCGGGGAGGACCAAGGCCAGGCAGCCAGGAGAACCCAAGGCAAGAAAATGAGGTGAGTGCCAGGGTAGGAATGGGCAAGGCTGTCCCTTCAGGGACCCGGTGTCAAATAGCCCTGTGGGGTCTGACCTTGTCTCTGGGCTGACTCACCTTTGTGTCCTATGGGTGGTACAAAGGGTTTCTTATCAATCCTTGGGGCTCTGAGAGGGAGACTGAGCTGGGCGCCTTCCTGGGACTCCGGAGACATGCAACTTGAAACGGGAGACTTTGTGCAAATCCTGCCCAGGGCTGCTGAGGCTCAGATTCCCCTTCTGCCAGTGTGGGTGCTGCCTGCTGGCGAATGAGACTTTCCTCCTGCTGCCCACAGGCTCAGTTTTTTGTTTTCCTCCTCTGCAAAGAACATTGGTTTACCTCTCCCAACACTTTGTGAGTTAGATATGTGTTTGTGTGTTTATTTGTTCTGACCGGAAAAGAAACCAGCTTCCCACAGCTCAGCTCTGTGGTTTCTTAAACCCTCAGAAGTTGGCCAGTTAAAATCTCAATTTAGAAAACTAAAAACCTGTCCCCGTTTTACAGTTTTCTATAAATTTCTGAATTTCTGACTGAAATCAGAGGCAGCTGGTGGTATGAATCAGAATACCAATAGCACCAAATGGCTCTTACAGGATAGCACAATTTTAATTTTTTTAAAAGGAGCCTTTGGTTCTGAACCGAGGACTTTAAATTCTAATTGTTTTTATGCTCTTCAACATTCCCTATTCCTCAGCTATAGTTTGAGTTACTTGATCCTTCCTACCATACATTCCTTGTAAGTTTTCCTCTGCAAGTCTCAAAACCTTACCACCGTAATTGTTTTTACTACTTATAAGTGTTAATGCTGTTAAGAATTAAAAAAAAAGGAAGAAGAAGAAAGGAAAGAAAAACACTGCAGATGTTAAGTCCTTAAACCCCTCTTTTCCCATTAATTTTCTTCTCCATTGAAAAAGGGGGTTCTATTTGTTTCTCTTTTGCAAAGTCATCTAGCAACTTTTCTGGGTCTGGGATCAATGAGGGGCTTCAGACTGTTAACTCTTTGAACTCAGATTACCTGTGGTTCAGAGAGGTAATCGGGTCTTTAAGGTTAATTCTTTTAAAAGAACATTCTGCTCTTTTTAAATCCATTGTAATTTTAGATCTGCCATCTAACTTCATATTCCTTTCTCCTAAAAGAGATGAAATGTATGCCATCTACATGCAATGACAATTTGATTGATCTGTCACTGTTTGAATCTCACCCTACCCCCAATGCCCCAGTCATACCAAACTACAGGGCTGATGAACAAGTTCTGTGTCTTTGCGTTTACCCATTCCTTAACCCAGAACATCCTTCCCCCTTATTTTCTACCTAGGGGACCTGATTGCTCCAGTCAACTCAAACATCACCTCCTCTTCCCTAGCCAACATCCCCAGAATAAGCATCCTCTGTCCTCTGGGGCTACATCTCTTCTTGTCTTTGCACATCTCCTTGTTTAAATGCCCACCTCCTCTTCCAAGATTGACTGTCTCCTAAGATACGGAATCTTTTTGTATTTGTATGCCCAGTGTGTAGCATGATATCTGTTTCCTTATCTGTTAGGCAATCAATAAATTTTGGCTGAATTGCATTCAGTTGTTAAATAGCACAAATACTACAGAAAAGTGCTCCACTAGAAGTTTTCCAAGAGTCTTGCCTCCTATAGAAGGGCACTTGAGAGTTTACAAAACCCTTTCATGGGCACTGTCTCTTCTGGTTTTCAGATTTTGGATAAGGTAAAGATTTATGAAAAAGTGACGATAAAAGCAGTTAACAATTTACCCAAAGCCACATGGATGATTTGGAAAGCTCAGACTTAAACTTGGGTCTTTGGACTTCAACTCCAGGACTTGAATGTTTTTTCTACCATATTCTACCAGACTCTCAACCAAGTAACATTCTATACAGGCATCTCCCAGTCCTCCTGCACATTAGCATCATCTGTAATGCTTCAAAGTGCCGAGGCCTGGCCCTCACTCCAGACCAATTAAACTAGAATCTGTTGGGGGAGGGGCTTTGGTATTAGTATCTTTTTCAAAATTTTTCACATAAAGCCATGGGTTTTTGAATTATTTTTCACAGGATTAATTGCTTTGGCCAGATGCCTGGGCATATGGGCATGGACCCAGCTTCCTCTGTGAGCTTCGGTTATTCCCTTCTTCTGTTGAAGCTAATTTGCCATATGGTATTGGCTATGACATGTCACCTCTTGGGGTATCCTTTTCATCACCCGTCAACTAAGGGTGTTGTCAAAGGGATCTATGCAGTCCCTTTCAACTCTTCTACTCAGAGACAGTCTGGATGTAGTGCAGGTTGAAGTGAGGGGCGTGAATGGAGAGGATAGAAATTACTACTCATTGCATAATCTATGCAGGCATTTTTATCTTTCCTGATGGCCTGTTCCCACACTGGAGCCTCTGAAATCCCAGTTTTCGACATTACTTTTGACATTTCAAGCAAATGTAGCTCAATTTTTTTGATTAGCTAGAATATAGATAGCAGGTGTCAGGAATTGTACAGCCGGTGCCTGGTGTATAAGAAGCCAAAAACAGTCAGAGAGTGTGATGGGGAATGAAAGCCGACACTTATATCCTCTGATTTGCAGCCCCTAAAGCAAGCAAGCATATGCTCAAGCCCATTATGTGCAAGGAGATATTTGTTTCATATGTTCGACTGTTTTGAGATGCAAACAGAATAGAACAGAAAGCTTCGCAGGCCATCCTCCCACACTAAACAGTTGTCTACCCCACATGGTCCTGGGCTTCTGGGCTGTCAGCAGCCGGCCCTTGACAGCCCCGCAGTAGGAGGCTGAGTCTCCTCCATGTGGTCTGGAAAAAGCAGCCATGGAGAAAGTTGACCTTTGAGCCTTGCACAATCTGGATGTCGCTATTACAGGGAAGTCCGATTTGGGAGCCAACCGTCACTCCTAACCCCCCTGTTTTTTGGGAAGCAGCATGATGGAGTAATCATAACTAATGTTTGCCTAGGGCTGGGCAGTTAACAAAGCACTTTCCAACCGCCTTTTTCTGAGAGCAGCCCTGTAGGAAGTCATTATTATCACCAAATGGATGAAGAGACAGAAACCTAACATGACTTTCCCAAGATGGTTCAGATAAATGAAGTAAAAGTCTGAACTGGAACCTAGTTTTTCTGCCCCAGGACCAGCACTCTCCCCTCCCCAAGCAGCACTGCAGCAGAACTCCCTGCCCTGCTGACATGGGTATATTTCCTCCCTTGAATGTAGGGCTGCCTGGGCCCTGTGAGTGAGAGTTTCTGGACTCAGCTTTCCTATGAATTCACTAGAGACTTGGACTTATGCCTTCCCTTCTCTCTGCCTCTGTGGCCCTTCCTCCAACAGACTGGTTTAAAAAAATATTGACCCCGGCAATTGGATTAAAACAATTTGCTTCCTTAGTTGCATCTCACATTATTATAAGGGCTTGGAAAAAATTTAAGTAATTTTATTGTTTTCTTTTTATTGAAAAAAAATAGTACAGGTCCTTCTAGACAAATTTGAACATTTTTTATACACAAAAATAAAATTAAAAACACTCATATTTTATGTCAGTGATAACCACTGCTAGTACCCTGCTGATATCCTTCTAGGCCTATTTGCACTTACCTATTTATCTTTTATGTAAATATTATGAGAAAGCTATGTATATAGATTCAAAAATTCATGCATATGCACATATACACATATATGCATCTGTACTTGTGGGACAGAGGGTTGGGAAAAAGTCTCCTGACTAGCAAAGATATAACTATTAATCCTAAAATGCTGGTATAATTTCCCAGCGTTGACTTTTGGGGCTGTATAAGACTGTGGCCCCATTTCATTCATCTATTCACTCATTCAGTCATTACTGATTATATATTAAGCTCTACACTAGGTCCTTTATATACATAACCTTGAATGCTCATGTGAGTTTTTTAATTAGAGATAATCCCATTTTTATATGAGGAAATTGGAGCTCAGAGAGACTAATTACCCAAGATTTCATGGCCAATAAGCAGAAAAATTGGGATTTGAACCCCAATACATCGAACTTCAGGGGCTGTTCCCCTAAAGCAGTGCAGTGTGATATGTGCTCAATTGAGTGAAAGATACTCCATAGCATCAGAAGCTTTAAACTGGATGATGGAGGAGAAATAAGACAATTAGGTGGGAATGATTACAGCATGTGGAAGAAGGCTGAGTTATGGGTGGGCATGGCATGCCAAAGTATGGCTGGCACTGAGATGAAGGTGGATAGACAGATCAGCACTAGATCAAAAAGGGATCATCAGCCAACCCGGGAGCAGATGCTTTACCATGGTCACATCTGTGTATTAGTAAATCAACCTTGGAGGAAGATTGCTGAATAGTATAAAGTGGAGGCAGGGAGACCACTTAGGATGCAATAGCAATCTATAATAATAAAAGTGTAATATGCTAATTAGACTGGACAGCCAAACGACATTCCAGACGTCATTCCAGACGTCCTTCTGGATGAAGCTGCGGCAGCAAGGGCCGAGGCAGAGGCGGTTAGGAACCATCAAGCAGGTAGGCAAGCAGTTAGAGGCAATCAGGCCAGCAGGCAGAGTGGTTAGGGGTGATCAGGCAAGTGAGTGGTTGGGGCGATCAGGCAGGAAGGCAAGTGGTTGGGGAGATCAGGCAGGCAGGTAGAGGTGGTTAGGAGCGATGAGGCAGGCAGCTGAGCAGTTAGGGGCATCAGGCAGGCAGGCAGAGTGATTAGGGGCAATCAGGCAGGCAGGCAGAGTCGTTAGGGGCGATCAGGCAGGCAGGTAGGCCAGCGGTTAGGAGCCAGCAGTCCCGGATTGTGAGAGCAATGTCTGACTGCGGTTTAGGCCCTGCAGGATCAGGCCTAAACTGGCAATTGGACATCCCCTGAGGGGTCCCAGATTGCGAGAGGGTGCAGGCTGGGCTGAGGGACCCTCCCCATGCATGAATTTTGTGCACCAGGCCTCCAGTATTTCAGTATTTCATATAAGAACGTTTACATCAACTGACCTTGGGAAGCAATAGTACTTATGGGAAAACTTGATGAGCCAGGTTTGGGATGTTTGAATTCAAGGTCCTTGGGTCTTGCTTGGGTAGGGGAGGGGTCAATCTATTAGATGCTTGGTGTGGTGTATATTGACCATTAGGGCTTTGACAAGCCTTGAACATTCTGCCTCTATTGCATCAGTCACATTGGGTGTGTTCTGTAAGTTTTATTGAGTTTTCCTTGCCCTTTATCCAATTCTTTTAATAGTTCATTCTTTTTCATTCCTACAGCTGGAAATAAATTGTAGGGTTTTGATCATTTTATAAGAACACTTACCAAGAGGGAAAAATTTTGTTTTACTGAGTCTTTCTTAATTCAAAAATTTGCATACCTTGATTAATTTTGTTAAATTTGTGTAAGGTACTGCATCATTGAGCACAAATCTCATCCCAAGATTACTATGTTACTATTACTTTTTAGAAAACAAAAGGGGTTATAATTCTTAAATGAGGTTGAGCTGAAGAAATAATAACTTTTACCTGATTATGAAATTTACATTTTCAACAGAAAAATGATATGTGTCAGAGTCCCAAATGTGGTATTTGCTGGGAAAGTTTAATAGTATTATCAAATCTTCAAAAGAGCACAACTGACAGAAACTTTAGAAATCACTGAGTTACCGTTTTCTGTATTCTAGACTGGGTAAGCAAGACCCACAGGGGAGGAGTAAAGGCAGAAGTCAGTGGCCGAGATATGCTGAGAACTTGATCTCTGGCTGCTGACTTAGTTAAATGGTGAGGAACTGTGTCCGTGAATGTAAGGTGATCCATTTTTGTCTTTTAGGTGGCTCCCTCTTTATCATGCTTTGTGCTTCTCCTTGTGGAAGGCTTTGGCCCACACTGTGGAGCTTAACAATATGTTTGGCCAGATTCAGTCGCCTGGCTATCCAGACTCCTACCCGAGTGATTCGAGAGTGACTTGGAATATCACTGTTCCAGAAGGATTTCGGATCAAGCTTTACTTCATGCACTTCAACTTGGAATCCTCCTATCTTTGTGAATATGACTTTGTGAAGGTGAGACCCCTGATATTCCCTAACTGGGCCAGGATGTCTATTGGGGAATCTGCTGGGAGTTAGGGAAACCTAGATGAATTAGATGCTGTGCTTACTTCCTTGCTGGCAGTCCAGTGAGGGAGACACAAAAGGTTACAACATGATGAATGAAGGTGTGAGTGGCATGCTAGGTGTAGGCTGAGTACATAAACCGAGAAAGGACCAAGAGGAAAACTGAGGCTGGCAAAGTGTAACTCAGCCAAACACAGCTTCCTCTTTTTATTTCTGTTCTCAAAGTCTTTAATGTTTTCATTAGCCTCTACTCCAAGGTCACTTTTAATTCACAAAAGCAGAAAAGGGGTGGGACGCCAACATAAGCATTAATCAGACTGAAACACATCTGTAAGTGTGTCGAAATCTGAGGCACTAGAAAGCATTGCCTAGTTCCCTAAGTAATGATCAAGTGTTTTGAGGAGTGTAGGACATCCAGTAGCAGACAGTAGGAGGTGAGATTGGAAGGTTAGATTGGGGAGAGATTCTGAGGGGCCTTGAATGTGATGCTAAGGAGTTTGTATTTTAATCAGCAAAAGGTATAGGCAAGGGTGGGGGTCGCTATCAGAGGGGAATGTAAAGAAAAAACACATGGATGAGGGGCAGAAATAATCAACACAGTATTCCCTGGAATTTAGAGAGAGCCCACAAACAAGACCATGGATGGGAAGCTGTTCTTTAAAAGTGAGGCTAAGAAAGGTTGGAGAACTTTCTTTCTTTCTTTCTTTCTTTCTTTCTTTCTTTCTTTCTTTCTTTCTTTCTTTCTTTCTTTCTTTCCTTCTTTCTTTAATTTAAATGAAAAAAAAATATGATTGGAGTACTTCTGAGAGATTGAGTTTATTAAGGTTGTGTCTGATTTGAAAAGATGAGAACCTGCTTTCTAAACTTTCTCTGACTTCCTGGAAGAGGTTCTCATCAAACAACTCTAGAGCAGACTTTGCATATTGTTAGGATTATTATAGACTCATTTTCCACAGCCAATATTTCAACAAGAGTTAGCCTTGTATTAGCCAGAATGTTTGATCAACAACAAAGTAGTGAGTTTGCAAGGTGCTTTTACACTTATAATCTTATTCAACCTTTAAAACAATCCTATGAGACAGGTACTACTATCCCATTTAAAAGGCCAAGAAAAAATCCAAGAAGGTAAAGCAACTCACCCAAAGTTGTATAGCTAGAAAGTGGCAAAACAAGGATCTAAACCCATGTCTTGTGACTGTCATTCCCATGCTTTTTTGACTATACAAGTTGTGATCCACTGAGCCCCAGGATACTGCAGGGGGTTACAAAGCTACTATAGGCAGGGGAAGCCTGGTAAGTGGGGCTGTGAACTCCTACCCTGCTTAAACTCATTTTAATTGCTGGATGTTGCTTATCATTTATGTTGGGTCTGAATCAAAAAAATATTACTTGCAACAAGGGTTTTGTGACTTAAAAAGCTTCCAAATTGGTACTCCATGGCAAAGTTTCTAAATTTCCACACTATTGACATTTTGAGCCAGATCATTCGTTGTTAAGGAAAGCTGTTTTGAGAATTATACAATTTTTAACAACATCCCTGGCTTCTACTTACTAGATGCCAATAGCACTTCCCTCTTGAGTTGTGAGCACCAAAAATGTCTCCAGATCTTGCCAATACCCCCAGAGAGGCAAAATCTCCTCATTTGAAAACCATTGCTCTAAGGAATGCTGCCCCTCTTTGAATGTTTTGTGCTAGGGACTATGAGAATTTAGGGATACAAAAGATCTGGCCCCTTTCAAAGAAAGATGAGCCCAGAAAATAGCCGCTGCACAAGATGGAAAAGAGTAATGACAATGAGAGGCTGACAAGTGGAGCCAACCTCTCAGGCAGGGGTTGTTCACCAAGACCCTAAGCATGCATCATCCTAAATTGAAATTTCTGACAAACTGGACAATTATGTCCTTTAGGATATAATCTAGCCTCTGCCAGAACCAAACCCTAAGAGAAGATAGATTATGGGTAGGGGCATTAGGTTAGCAGAATCCCCCAGCCCAATTCCCCAACAAATACTGGTCATAAAGCCAAGTTAGTCTTGAATATGTGGACTTCACCAGAAGGAAGGTGACCAAACATTGGCTAAATAAGACAGTACACTCCATAGATTCAGACAAGGCTAGATGTGAACTTCCTAACTGCTTCTTTCCTCTACTTTCAAACATGTCAACCATCAAGAAATTTTCTCAGTGAGAACACTTGATTTTATTGGTAGCAGAAGCCTCACGACCATAAATGTACAGATTTTTTTTCCTTTGGCTGCAACAATGGCTTATTTTCATTATCCCGCCCCCCTCTCTACCCCTAGAATTGACTCTCTCTCAGTTCATATGCATTGAGCAATCATTTCTCACAAGTTTTCCTCTTATTCAGACAGATGCCAGGTTTGACCTTGTTAGGACTCCTTTATGAAGATGACAAACACACAATAGAGGATTTAACTTATTCCTTTGCCCCAAATAAATTCAGTCTCCTGGCAAAGGAGATTAAGGAGCTGACATCAGCTGTGTTTTGTAGTGGGAAAAAATGACAAGGTACTGTTCAAGGGCAACAATAGAATCTGAAGACCTTTCTGACACTGAATTAAGGACACTGGAATACATTTCTACCCAAAGCTTGACCTTTCTGGCTGAAGAATATGTTGGAAATTGATTAATGGTTTCTATCCAGGCAGGTGAAACACCTTTCTGAAAGCCCAAGGAGATGGAACTAAACTTTCTGGAAGGAGAGCATAGTCTTAAGTTCTTGCCTGGGTTTCAGGAAATGCCTGTTCTAGTCCCGTATCTGCCATTAATTTCCAAATGATTGGGAGTGGACAAGAAAATCTTGTAATACTCACTTTGCTCCAAAATCAGACTTATAACCAAAGATCAGTCTGCTTGAGACAATGCAGAAACTGAGCTGCCTACCTGAAGTGCCCTGCAGTTCTTGTAGCTCTGCCCCAGACACATTTTGCCAAAATCTTTGGAGGAAGGAATTAACACCTTGGGCAGAGAGGGCAAGACGCATTTCTTTACTTGAGCTTGTCCAGCTGACTCCCTTCTAGAATGCCAACCAGCACCAGCATTAGCCTCCCTGCAGAGGCTCCAGCAGCCATGAGGCCTGAGCAGGCCTTCCTTTGCAGGACACTGTGCCCTGGTCAGCTGACAACTGGTGCTCATATGGAGACAGGTCCTGTGCCCTTGGCCACACATGCCTTGCACAGTTCCTCTCCTGGAGTCAAGAACTCACAGAATATCAGGATGCTGAGGCCCTCCGCATACTCATCTAGTCCCACACAAAATTTGTTGTTTTTCAAATATTATGTCCCAATGAACGCTTTCTTCTAAGAAATCTTCTAGTCAGCCAATAGAGAAAACAGAAGTGGGGCTGCTCAGAGTGAAGGTGGCTCTGAAGCTCACTCTGCTCACTCATCCTCCTTGGTCACCCTGAAGTTCACACCTATCGGGAATTATAACTTGACTGTTGCTTACGTTCCTGTTGGACAGAAGAGGTGACTGGAGCTCATAATTCAGGGACAAGACTAGTACTCTGGACTCTGAACTCCCAAACCCAAAAGCCTTCTACATATAGTTGAAACCCATTCCCTTTTTCTAATTGCCCTACCACCTTCGACCCCAGAATATGTTTCTTTCCTGGCTACTTAATGAGAGGAAGACTCTTCGCTTTCCATCTGCATGAGTATGAGCATACCACACCACTCCTGGATAAGTCAACATTCTCTCCAAAATTCTGTTTTTTTCATCTGGTCCATAAAGAGGTGAGATGAGATATTCACTAAAGTCCCTTAAATTACAGAATTCTAATCCTAATCCTCCTTGCCAGAATTTTCCAGATAAGCCCACCAAACCCTTAATTTTCTGGTTAGAATAATGCCATAAACCAGTAATGATATGTTACGATGGCCACTTCTCAAGGTTCCATGGCCATAAGCACTCCATTAAGAGCCTACAGTCTGCTGGGGATGCCTTAGTGACATGTCATTTAAAGAAAACTTGTAAACATATCATTCCACTGCTGTCCTTTTTAAATAACACTGATTTCCATTTGATGATTTCTATCCAGAGATGTTAAATGCTCATATAATATGCCCTGTTTTGAGGCTTTATCACTCTGCGACTAAATTGCCTTGGTAGACTTTGTAGTGGGTTTAAAGAACCCTCCAGTTCACAAGAACCCTTTTCAGCGCAGCCCAAACCCACAGACCACCCTTCCCACCCTGATCCATCAGGGTGATATGACCACACTGCTGACACTGCATATCAGTAGCTTACAGAAGACCAGGACCCCCAAGGCTGCAGTCCAGATGCCCCCATTTTAGAAAATTCCTCTCTCCGACCTGATTCCTTGCAGTCCTTGGTCTTCAAAATGCATACACATCTGCACAACAGCATCTGCTTCCTTGGAATGTGTCTGCAATGTGTGGATTCCTGCAGTGCACAGATGAGGCATACAAATCACAGCTGGTTAATGTTGCAGGTGAGATCAGAGCACAGATGCTGGCCAGGGAGTCGGTAAGCCTGGATTCTTGTGGTCTTTCTCTTCTAAGTAGGTTAACCATGGGCAAGTGACTACTTCTATACGGGGTCACTGGTATATAGGAACTTGAACAAGATGGTCTCTAAGGCCAATGTAACCCTCATATATATGTAGCTAAGACTTCAAAAATCATAATTCAATTCTATCATCATTATGATAAAAGCCTAGGGAAGGGAAATTTATTGGCCAAGGTCACACTGGGACCAAAATTTATATCTCAAGATTTTCAGTCTCTTTCTTCTTTTAAAAAAATTAAATGGCAGTGGAGTTCCATATACAGATGCTCAGGGTTTTTTTTTAAGTGTAATGTAATATAAGTACAATATAAGGCAAACATTGTCCATAGTCAAACTTACTCAACCTCCTAAATATATTAGAGCACTGTCTTACAGTATATCCAGAAGGGACTTTTTTC